TACATTGATGTAATTCACAATTACTCAAGTTGAAATAATAGAAACTTTCTTCTCCCCTCTTTCTCTTTCAATTGATGCAGCAATATCTGCAAAATATATTAGATTGTTTTCATAATTTTACATGGTATCAGAGCAATAGCAAGAATTTTTCATTAAGGAAGTTGATAAATAGAACATGTCAGTTGTAGCTGATTGTGCTTCCACTCCAACTTGGTTCCAAAAGATATAAAGTTTATGATCTTCAGAATCACAGGTCATTTATTAGTCGAAATGTTATTTTTCATGAATTCTCATTTCCTTATATAAGTCATCCACTTCACTCTCCAACTGATCATCGAATTTTTCCAATTTCTGAACCTACAATGGACATCCCTTATCAATCCACCCAACACACATCTCAATCTCCAGGCATAAATATTGAAGATCCTTCTTCCAATGGTAATATATACTCCCCTATGCCACCAGGTGTAAGCAGTCTACATCATTCTCCTATCACAGCTAAATGATTATCTCCAGTTTTTCCCCAACCAACCAGAAGATCTAACCGCCAAAAACATCCACCCTCTTATCTCACTGATTATATGATCTGCCTACCTCTTCAGTTGCACTCCAGTCCTCCGGCAAGCTGGCTAGATCTCCTGCTCCTGGTAAGCTTTGTTCATTATCTGATTTCTTATCCTATGATAGACTAAATCTCAAACACAAAGCATTTACTACCTCTATTACATCTGCTTATGAACCAAAATTTTATCACCAAGCTATCAAATTCCCACATTGGCAAGCTGCCATGAAAAGCGAAATTCAGGCCCTTGAGAAAAACAACACTTGGACTCTCACTCTTTTGCCGCCTGGTAAGCAGAAAATAGGGTGTAAATGGGTTTACAAGGTCAAATTTAAAGATGATGGTTCTGTGGAAAGGTATAAAACACGACTGGTTGCGAAGGGTTACAACCAGCAAGAAGGTCTGGACTTCTTTGACACTTTCTTCCCCGTGGCAAAATTAACTTCAATTCGTGTTCTTCTAGCAGTGGCAGCTGTTAATAATTGGTTTCTCCACCAGTTAGACGTTAACAATGCGT